TGCCATCGCGTTTGGCAGACTTAGCAGAAATGTTTAATGCATTTTTGTCGTCGGTCATTGTCTTTGCCGATGCTCTCTAGTCTAATCAAAAATAACAAATATGAAATGTTTTAAAGTGTGAGTAATATCAGCGTTTAGTTGCCTGAGGTCGAGCTTTTAAAAAATTTTTATACTGACAAACTGTTTTTTTTTGCGGTGCCATAGCTTAAGCTGCTGTGTTATATTTATCACACTTTCTAGCTTATTCGAACAAAATGACACAGGAACAACAGTTCGTGGATTTACGACTTGTCATGGTTTGTGCATAGATAATTTGGAAAATAATTAGGCAAAATAAATCCCCATTTCAGGATCTCATTCTATTAAGAATTATTTCAAAAAATGATCGTCGGGCTCGTAATTATATTTTCAACTGAGGCAGCATCAGCATACGCTTCTTATAGGCAACCTGCAATGCTGTTTGGTTTGGCGCCATCTAGCGACTGAAACAAGAAATATTGGGTACCCCTGGGAGTGACGGCTGCATTGTTCAAACGTGAGTTATTACTCTGGTGTCGCCGCTGGGCCTAGTGTCTGAAGCAAGAAATACTGGGTATCCCAGGAAGCCGTGACCGCGTAACGTGCCAGTAGAGCGAAAGCTATGGCCCTGGCGGGCCAATCGGAACGTGACTGCGTATCACCGGAGCGCGTCTCAACTCCGGAGAAGTATCAGGCTTTTCGCTGCGTCATGCTCCAATATCTGTGCGTTGCGCTCGAATACGTCGCGCATTTCGAGGCATTCGGCACGCAATGTGGGGCTTATCTTTCGCCGTTTGCCAAGTTACAACGAGATAGGGTATAACCGTGCGCTCTCACCCTGCTGGCGCCGCCTGGCCGTTGCCGGCTGCCTATTACGAACGCTGAATTATTTACGTTCTCACAGACATTTGTCTGAACCCCTTGAAACAGATATTTAAGAAATGAATTAAATACCATAATGTCAGACTATGTGATAATGGCTCTCGATGCTTGCTAACAATGCCATATTTTAGCATAAAACGAATAAAAGTATTTGAAAGGAAAGTGAAAGAGCCTTAAGATTTCTTCGTCGCAGCAATTGTACGAACGGCCAGCGGCACGTGACAAGCGACCTCCAACACATACGCCTGATCCTGCGATCGGCGAGTCGCTTCTGGGAAGCTCTTTTTTGGAGCAAGAAGTCGTCGGTTGGGTTCCTTCGACGGTGCTGTTCTTCAGGTCACAGTACACTTCCCATTCCGCTGCTTTGAAGTTTGTTTCCGCCCACCTACAAATTGGTTTGCTTTCCAGACACTTCGTCTTGCGTCATTAGAATGCAAACTGCAAACGCGTGGTCACGCTGACAAAAACAGGAACGTACACTGTTAGCGAAAATGTAATATTACGCCTGTTTACACCCCATTTTCACTCGCTAGCATATTCTTACACGCTCTGCTAGTGATAAATCGTTAAAAAATTACTTGGGGTAGTAAAAATTGGTATTTCGGTTTCGGTTTACACGACTAGGCGTGAAAGCAACACTGAAAACACCCCAGCCCAACACCCCAAAACGTCGAGCGCCATGTTGCTTCTGCCTCGAAGCGGTACGGCGGACGTAGCAGCCGAAGGTGAGTGTTTGATTTTTTTTTTTCAAGTTTGTATAGGATGTAGCACGTCTCAGATTTTTATAACGTGCCGTTCAAGAACGTTAGATTTGCTTTGAGCAAGCCGGCTCAGGCGTTAAGCCCGATTCACACAACCGGCGTTTAGCCACCCCGTCGATTGGAAACGACTCGACTGCTCGCCGGTTCTTTTGCGCGAACGTTCGTGGCTAGCACAATTAGGCACGGCTAGCGTCCCGGTGGAAGCTGCAGAGAGCGGAAACCGAAGACACCGTCGCAAGTGGCGAAGCCGCGATCCTGCGCTGATCGTTGTCCCGCCGCTCTCTCCGGCAATATCGACACTTCGCTGCCGGGTGTCTCGTATTTCGACGTTTTAGAGAAACTTGGCAAGCGCGAGGAGTCTCTATATCGTTTTCTCCGTCGCCTGCGTGGAGGAAACACGGTGGCGATAGAGACATATGCTCATCCAGTCAGTCAACTTGGACAATCCCCCTGTTCTCTCAATCATATCGCATTCTTTGACTGCGTTTGTGACAACAACGTTTCCCCAGTGTGAAAGCTTTCAGTCACAACGGGCTACAAACTGGGTTGTGCATGGCATGTAGCCCTGAGGGAATTCTTCGCCGGAGACACCAGCACATTAGTTTCATTGGTAAGGTGACCGGCCACTAACGTGTTAGGCAAATGAAGCGATCACGGATAAGTAGAAATGCAAACAATGTTGAATGAATATTAATGTGGTTGTAGCCAGAGCCTGCCAGTTGAAATTTCTAAACATCAACCTTTAAGAGTATAGTCTGCGGTAACTTCTTTTTGCACTTGGGATTGCAATTTTAAACACAAAGCCACTCCACATAGCTGTCGAAAATCGTGTAAACAACAGCAGTCATCGTCCCCGGTTCGAATGAGCGAAGCCTTAGCTTGATGAAAAGAATGGCGGTCTATACTTCTTGGTTGTTGCAATCACAACCTCGCACAGCTGAACACACAAACAAATCAAGGAAATATATCACACGCTGGCTTGCAAATCACAGCACACAAGCAGGGTACATAGCAGAGCAGAAAACACTGGCAATCAGCACACGGAGGCATGCAGCTTCCTTTTTTTTTCCCTCGGCGAATGATTGGTTTGCTGCAGCATTCCGTAAGCACGTCGACATTCAAAAGTTGAGCCTGATCTGTCTTGCAGTGCCTTGCGGAACGGCAAGTATTGCCCACCATTCCACAAGGCACTGCAGGACTCGCAAATGTGTGGACAGTGCTTTGCAATAAAGGCCATGATCGGGCAGCAGGTGCCCATATAAAGACATTTATTATTGATTGGCATTGAACTAAGCTTTGGGCTTCATCACGTAGCAAGCATGGGTGAGGTTTACTAAAATATTAAGGTGGGCTAGTTGGATATGCGTTTTCGAAATAAATAGCGCGAAGGTCAAAAACAAACTGACGGTACAAGCGCTATACCGTCAGTTTGTTTTTGACCTTCGCGCTATTTATTTCGAAGGTGAGGTGTAATTCAAGAACATTTAATGTTCGACGAGTTTAATACTTTGTGGTGCTTTCCCATCTGTTTCGGTGTCACGGAGTAGGGTTCAAATTAATAAAAATAATTCAATGATCCACTCTGAGGATAAACGAGAAATTACGGGAAAAGAACAGAAGAGCTAAGTTCGACCATTGACTAGCACTAGGTCCACGCCTGGTGTATAATCAGTAGAGAAAGACGATGACACAGGGAGGATAAGCAAACAAAAGATCAGATTTAATAAAGTGAAAAACTAAGCTGTACACGGCAATAGAGCACTCAATACAAACCACACTCCAGCTCAAAGCTATGGAGCCCTGCGAGCCAGAAACTAATATTAAAAAGGCTCGGCGCTCATAAAACCGGGATAAGCCAACAAAACAGTGAAGAAAACCCGACACTAACAACGAGAGCAAACCGAGATGGAACTCGAACGTTACCGCTACACTCATGGGATAATCCCCCAAAACAATCGCGACAGAAAGTAGCACTGTGTAAAAATCTTCTCAACATTCAACAATTCATACTTCAGAGCCAGAGAATGAAGCAGACAAGTCCTAGAAAACCAGGCTTAGCTTTCCGGTAGGTGCTAAGTCCAGAGCAGTCCGTAGTCTGGAGTTGTCGGTCGAAGAACGGCGTCTCGGAGTCCGGCGGTCCAATTAGAAGCTTGATGAGGTCGACACCGCGCACCACACAGCCACACACGCTTCAGCACAACGAACTCAAACACTTGCCCAACAGGCAGGGCAGAAGCCAAAAATTACACGTTCCAAGACTCATCTGCAGGGAGTAAGCGCGTTGAGCAGCGACCCGGCCAGCTCTGGGGTTCCCGAACCCCCTTTTATAGGCTCGTCTACCGACCAACCTCCCGTTTCCCCGACTTTCGGGTCAGTCAACTTTCAAGAAAAACAAAGCTACACAGCAACGACCCAAATGGCAAAACCTATTACATTTTTCAGACAACCAAACATATGTGCCCATCCATTCCCCCGTACGAGTCCAAAAACATCAATTATCGCCGATACATAGACCACGACTGGCGGCAGACTGAGCAAAGCCGCCGCCTTCAAAAAGCGCGCTAGCCAGCGTAAACATCTTTGTATCTTGGCGGCGCCCCCGCATGTCAAATCGGCACCATACGCGAGCCAGCATACGCACCCGTCCGTCCGCGAGGTCAAAGCCACAAACTGTGACCCGGGATGATCTACGTCGCCCGTTAACAAAAACCCATTCCGCAAACGAGCAAATTCGTTAGGGACTTGGAAAGGAACTACGACGGGACGAACTGAGATTAAAAGTGGCACCACACTCCCCCTTTTTGACCGTACAAATACTTAAAGTGGTCCAAAAAAAATATATCATAAAAGTATTTAAAAAAATGAAGAGAAGCCTGAATTTGTGACACCCGGTTTCTCCATCCTGTGTTTTTTTTTGTGCTTTTTCTATTACGAAGCAAGACATTACTCCAGCCGTAGGCACCAGATGTAATTCCCGTCTGCGATCATAAGATTATAGGATCCTAACTGCCGGCAGCTAAGTGTCAATTACATCCGGCTTGTGCATACAGTGCAACATCTTTTGCTATTCAGCCGATCATCACTTTACATCCTGGGTATCTGTTTTTGTAAAGGACCGTAGTGCTACATGTTAAACGGCTCTAATGGTACGTTTACACCTGAGAAGAAATCCGCTGCCGCAGGAGCGGATCCGCTCTCGGCGGCGGCGGCGACAAGCGGGTTGTGTTTACATCTGTTTCCTTCGAGCGGCGGCGGCGGCGGCGGCGGCGCCGGCTGCGGCAGCTGTTCTCGTGACATCCCGTCAAATACGACGAGAAGGCGCGAGAGTTCCCACCTCGGCTGTCTCTCCCGGGCGTCGCTGCTCCCCGGCTCGCCGCTCACCTGTTTTTGTTTTGGCTCGACGGGTAGGCGTGCGCTTCACGTTGACGCTGCACCAAACGGAAAGCACGGCGCGAAGCTGATGATGGACGATTACATAGATGAAGAAGAGGAGATCGCAATGATTCTCCTCTCGTCTTCGCTGCTTGCGATGGAGGAAGAGGAGCAGCGAGCGCCGAAAAAGCAGCGTCGCCGTCGGCGGTGGTGGGTTCGCCCATGTTTGCGAGACCGCGAAAGGACGGGACAAGCCAGCTGCCTCCTTCCTCGTCTTCGCTCGTATGACGAGGAGTATTACCGAGAGTAAGTGAATTTGGAATGTATACACTTGTGCGCTATGCCGCGAGTACGAGCATGTTGGCTCGAACGACGCTGAAAACGTTGCGTTCTTTGTTATGGCTCTCCTCAAGCAGTTTAAACAAACTCGGATAGTGTCCCTTCCTCGACTGTACGAGGTAACCATGCTCAATTGTCCCATGATCATTTGTGTACGGGTTTCTTACAGTTTTCTTAGGATGCCGCCGCGGTCCTTCGACACTCTTTTGAGCCTCGTCGGCCCCCACATTACGAAGGAGGAAACCCGATTCCGACGCCCGATCTCTCCCGACGATCGCCTGGCTTTGGCCGTCAGGTAAAGATTTGAAAATTTGAAAACGTACCATCGGCAAACCTCATCTCGACATGCTTGCTCGTAATTTGATGTCAATACTCATGAGAAGGACCTCAGGTGGTTGAAATTAAACTTCAGCTCTTCGCTGTGGCATGCCAGAGGTCCGATGTTGATTTGCCTATTTGGCCTACTACCCCCAAGAATTTCATCAGCATGCCACCTGGGTTCTTGAGAATGTGAACAAATAGTTATTTTTATTTGCAGATTCTTGGCAGCAGGTGAAACGCTGAGGTCCTCCTCATACAATTTCCTCTGTGGGAGAACAACAGCGTGCAAAATTGTGTCGGAGGTATGTGCAGCTATCTGGGACATCCTGAGTCCCATTTACGTTGTATGCCCGAAGACCGCAGACGCCTGGATCAGGGTATGGTTCAAACTTTCTGGTGTTGATATGCCGTTAGGTGCTGCTAGTGTCGCATTTGTAAACTTGGCGTCAGTGTCGTAGTATCAACGGGCACAAACAGAAATGAAGTCCCATTTGCCTTTCGGTCGTTCCATGAATATCGCAGTTGCGGAATGTGGCCACCCATTCAAGTCTGTTCCTATTCCTGGGAGTGGTGATTGTGCGAAATCCATTCCTTTCAACTTCTTGTAGTGGAGAGACTTAGCCCATTCCTCTCCAGACGTGGCTGGGCGTTCCTATTTCATTCCTTTAATTCTTCAATATGAAATAATGTCCATGGTGTTTGTACTTCGAAGCTGACAAAAATGAAAGCATTATACGAAAGAAAGCAATAGGGATAAGTTGAATAAATTCCAATATAACAGCGAAGCAGCATGTCCTTATTGGCAACTTCAAGCTCTGTATACAGCTGTCATGTGATCGTGTGTATTGATACACGAGATCTTGCATGCAGGCTATAACTTGCGCACATTCTTTAACGTACATCCAAAATTCACTCTCGCTACATGAAAGCATTTCTATTCACCACAATATACTGCTTATTCATACCTAACCTTCTGTTGTAGGATAGAAAATGAGAGTTTTTGATACAAACTTAACCCTTTTATAACGGTGGATGAAAGACAATGGCACCGCAAATATAAAAGCTTGCAAGAAAAGACAGATGACCGACACAAAGAGCATTGTGACAGTTCGGAAGTTTGAATATAAAAGCGGTGAGGTGTTCGAAATGTATGGTCTATATTAAGATGCGTCTGTGCTTTAGGACATTTTCATATTTCCAAAGCTCTCGAAGTGCATCGCACTTGTCTATGATGTGTGATCAAAATAAAACAAAATATTGTGCGAGAAAAGGGGACGATGTCGCGAAAGCGAAGTGCTTAAAGGGATGGTGAACCGAAATTTGGATTTAAAAAAAAAAAAAACAATGCAGGAGATGTAGGCGGGGCGCTACAATCCCTACAATACTACTCGCAATGCGATATCTCGAATGGACGGCCATATTTTGGAAAAAGGAGGTCGAGATTGAACCAGGCCGAGGAGGCGCGTGACGTCAAGATACCGTGCTTCCTCCTCTCTTTGCTTCGCTCCCTCAAGGCCGCGAGGCGGAGAAGACGCGAGGCTGTTCCCTCTCCTTCTCAGAGGAGCATGACGTCAACATTCCTGCCAAATGCTCCTCCTTTTTTGAAAAATACGGTCATCCGTTTGAGATATTGCTGTATGAGTGATGTTTTGGTGTTTGTAGCATCCCGTTGCACGCTTTTGCCGCGTTTTTTGGAGAATTCAAATTTCGGTTCAGCATCCCTTTAAGATCTAAACACAGCTTTCTTGTTTAAAGTTTAAAAGCTTGTCAAGCCTTTTCCTTTGCTCCTAATGAAATGTAAGATCCAACCGATATGTTCCCTAGATCTATTACAATACCCCGCCATAGTGACATATTGGCAGTGAAAGTGAAATGATCACATACTTTACTGTGCTTTTATTCACGACCACTTGCTTTGCCCCCGTGCACGGGGCTGGCCAATTTCTTAGTGGCTGCCGTTGCGACGTTTGGGGCGTGAAAACGCGGATTGATACACTACTGACAAATTGAAGTTTTCCCCGGCTGCTCCTTCTATATATTGGTGCTGTCAACGTTGCAACTGCACGATGACCCGCTTTTCTTTGCACAATAAGCCCCTTCATCAGAGAATGCACCTATACTTTGTTTCACTAGTACGAGCCAAGGCAAAGCTACAGAGTGAGCCTCACGTTTTAAGCCTGCCTGTGGTACACGTGAGCTCGTGCTACGCAAGTGTTGTTCAAGGCAACGCTTTTATCTTCGGCTTTGCTCACACTTGGCTTTGCTCACACATGGCTTGCACATGGCGTCATCGGACCGTGCTGGTGGTCATTCCAACTTGTTCCAGCTGAGAAAAACTAATCTGATGGTGCGAAGTGCACGCTGCTGAAGGTATGCGCTCAGCAGCAGCACAGATAACACCAACATGGCCACTGATAGGACGTCGGTGCTAGTCATGTGTAGACGATTGCAAGCAGGGCAACCGGCCATCACCATTTCTTCGCTTGTATGTGAGTAAAAATTGTACACGTGCAGCATGCGCATGAAGCCTGTCAAAGCAACCTCCACGTGCATGCTGCACGTGTACGCAGATGGTGCATCAGCCGGAACTCCATTTCGGAATTAAAGGGTCCAGTCACACTCCCATTCCTCCCTCCCTCCACTACCCCATTCCATTCTCATTCCGTTTTGGATCTATGGAAATGTGGAAAGGTTCCAGAACCATTCCAACTCCGGGGTCGCAACCCTGATGGATATCAAGTTGACGGGTTTGAATCTCAGCCAATGTGCTTACAATATCATTTCGGCTTAGTGCAAAAACTTCACCTTATGACCCTGGTTTCAGTTGCACGTCCAAAAGCACCCGTGTGGTTGAAATGCATCGCAAGTTTATGCTGGTGTGCACCAGATACTTTATTTGAGTGACACTTAACCCCCAAATTTTGTTTTTCAGGTTGCTGGCGAGTTCGAGGAAAGATGGAATTTGCCACATTGCTTGGGTGCGATTAACGGCAAGCACGTCAGCATCGAGTGTCCTGCGAAGTCCTGCAGCCAGGACAGAAATTATAAAAATGGCTTCAGCAAGTCGTTGCTTGCTGTTAGTGACGCCTACTACAGGTGAGGCTTCCTGTGAAATATGATGAATGTATGATAGTTATTACATACCTTATTAATTACCTGGAAACATCAGAGGAGCTAATAAGTATCTCGGCTATCAGTGAGATGACATAAAACACAAATTTGACTATGCCTCTCCTATATGCATTTGCAAAAAAGGCATCCTAGGTGGTGCCCCACGCCTACAAGCATGTATAATACACGCGTGAGCACATCAGTAGTAGGCTTGCAACTGGCTACTTTCCTAAAGCACTGCATGCAAGACTGCGCATTGCAGAATTGCAAGAATATGCGCAAAGCTTGTGCAATATGAAACATTTATTTTTGTTGTAGTTTTTGCATGGAGTGCATTATTTGTTCGCCACTAAGCTAGCCAGAATGCCAGACCTTGACGCTTCAGCGTCGGCATATTTCAGCCGCTTGTGACGTTAGTAGCGTAGCCAGGATTTTGTTTCAAGTGAAGGGAAGGGGGGGGGGGGGGGAAAGGAGGGATGGTTCATCAGCAACTCCCCACTCCCCCCGCCCACATACACACAGAATTCTTTTCCGTACAGGGTGGCCAGAAGAAACGAAGTTGCTCAGGTGGCTGCTGTTCAAAGGTTTATGGGTGGTCATTTCCAATTTGCACAGGTGTCTCATTTGAAAAATGTAGAGGTTATAGTTACTGAGCACTTACTGCCGTTGCTGCTACAGAAATGAGGTGAAGTGGATGTTGTCACGTGAAAACTGTGCAGTTCACATTTACCGATTTGTCTTGTCAATGCTTCTGATATTTCACATGTTTCTTTAAATGATATGGAGACCAGAAAGCTAAATGCACTGATGTGTTTTCTCTTTTTCATGCATATTAGGTTACTGTATGTGGAGATTGGCCACCATGGCAGCGAGTCGGACGGAGGCATCTTCGCACGTAGCGAGCTACAGCGCCGCATTGTCGCAGACCAACAGGGCATTCCCCCAGATTCTAGTCTAGGCAACATTGGCACAGTGCCTTATTTCTTGGTTGGGGACGAGGCCTTCCCACTGAAGAAGTACCTTATGCGGCCTTATCCAAGAAAAAGCAAGTGACCTCTTCTCTCTCTCCCGTCTCCGTCTCCCCCTCCCCCCTTTATTTATAGATAAAATCTAGGTCACAAAGAATATATTTATTTGCTGTGGATATAACAAGTTCCCAAGGCAGTGTAGCAGTGCAGAATAGCCAGCTTTTGATAGTGTCACAAAAACCCAAAGGAGACACAACTACATGATGGAAGTAACCTTCAAAAATTAATTTGTGGAGGAGTGACACACCGGGTAAAGCGATGGTACATAATGAGGGCATGCCTGGAGATGAATGTGGTGTAGTGGGCATTTTACGTCTCTCACAATCGTGGCGAATTCCACTCGTCGTTTTGGAGCGATTCAAAAGCGATCCTCGCTCTCGCCTTTAGACCGACAAATGCTAACTCGCGCTTGTCTGTGCATAAAGATAGCAACAAAAGACCGCTGAACATCCATGCCAAATCGACCATTGGAATTCCCCATCAGTCTTACTTGCATTAAATGGCTTTGCATATGCTTCTCTCGAGCTAATATGAAAATGACTCTGTGCTGCAGGCCTACAGCCCACACGCACTGAAGGCCAGACGGACGATACTGACCAAGCACCTAATGAAGAGAGGCCATCTGGGGAACGCGAGGCATGCAACCGGCGGCGCGTCTTCAATTACCGGCTTAGTAGGGGCCGAAGGGTTGTAGAAAATGCCTTTGGCATTCTCGCCCAAAAGTGGCGCATTCTGCGACGCCCTTTTAGGGCGAACACAGAAAACACAAGCAGATATGTGGCAGCCTGCATTGCGCTTCATAACTTCCTGCTCAAGGAATCGCAGGTTTCCTCAACGTCCTATTGCCCACCAGGCACTGGCGACACTGACGACTGGGAAGGCAATAAAAGAGCTGGCAGTTGGCGGGCAGAGCCCAACTCCACTGCTGCACTCACCAGCCAGCAAACACACGTGGTCGTCCCACCAGGTAGGACCAGAGCAGGCAGAGAGGCCAGTTTTCACTTTTCTGTACATGTCATTTCGGCTTCAATGCAGTGCAGCAACATGCAGGTACCCATGACCTGTTCCCTAGTCCCATTTACATGTTGTCACTAATCTAATGTCGAGCATATTTGTGGCAGAGGTATCATGTCAGCTGTACAAAGAATAAATAGGTTTTCACAGGTAGTGTTTTAGTCGAGTTTGATTACTCTTAATATGAAAAACTCGTAGCATAGTATATTCTCTTAATTCCAATTTCCAGAGCTCAAGTACATTAGCGAAAAATTTTACATGTCGACCATTTGCATCTGGATACACAATAATAGTTACAGGGCTGAGTGGAAGTAAATCGCTACAAAAAGGCGTTGAGGAACGTTTGTGCAAAGTGCCAATTTGACGTTTGCTTACAAAAAAATTGCTGCTACAGGCATCGGCATATGCAACTACATTTGCGCTACACTTTTTTATGGCAAGGGTAATTGTGCAAAAGTCTATGCACCATCAGCTCGTTCCATAGCAAGTACTTTCTTCAGTTCTGTTGAAACAAGGTATTTGTTATGTTTGCATAAGGTGACTAGCAATACCAGAGATGACATTTATGTTGTGCAAAAAGCTTGTTTAAAGCAGAAAAATGTAGACTTCATTCGTTGTGTTGTGGAATTCATGCATGATTGCATCCTTAAGGTTCAATGACATTGTCTCAAATCTTATACACATTATTGTGGTGTATCCAGCTTGGCCTATGCCATGAGGGACAAGCTGTCCCACTACTTCATCACTGCTGGGAAGGTGCCATGGTAAGACGACATGGTGTGATGCCTTGGCAGGAACAAGTAGGTGGGATTCTTCATTTATCCAGTTGCAAATCGAAATCAAGCACTGATCTCAAATGTTGGTAGCTGGGCAGATGATGCATGCTTCACGAGGAAAGTGGCATGCAATAAAATATACAGTCAGTGACACACACACACAGTGCTGACTTTCAACTCAAATTGTCATTTTATTAGATATATAAGGAATGATAAAGATATATGGGGAAGGAACAGAAAGATAGATGAAGGTATGACACCAAGTTGTCTTTTTTTCATTTTCCGCTTATTTTTTTTTTAATGGGAAAGCATTAACTGTCTCATGGGGCGAGCCGACATCATCAGCTTTGAAACCGCGCCAAACGGCACGGCAGGGTGCGGGCAGAGCGCGCCGCCCTGCCGTCGACACAAATACGCTGCAGACAAAATAGGGGAGCGGAATAATGACATAGGTACATGCTTGCGCATTCACAACTCATAAGCAGTGTTTATGGGGTACCTTGAGCCTTTTTTATTATGGGATATTTAACTTTTAATAAAAACACTGACATGAAAAATGTGGCGTTCAATAAACTACCTATCTTGCCTTTTTTTTTTGCTTGACACAAGATAAGTGTAACAATAAAAACATTGGAAAAAGAAAAAACACACACTCATGAAGCACAGACACTTCTTAGACGTAGCAGAGCATGATACAAAAGCAAGATCAAGGTAAACTCCACTCTGTCTCACTAAAACTGTGCAGTGCAGCCAAGCTGCAGCCCCCGTCAGCCAATCAGAAGATCGAAGGTCACCCTGCACAGTCACTCCGTGGGGTATAAGTATGCGGTTTTTCTTTATTGGCCTACGGGGGCTGTCGCTTCGGCTGCACTGCACGGTTTTAGTAGGACTGGGTACAAGCCTTTTGCCAAGTTTGGCATGCATTGGCTTAAAACTATGGAATGTAGTTTGCAGGTTCGGTCGTGTTCTCTTTCATCACAGTATACATTAAATTGTGAATGTTGTGCATTGTGTCCAGCTGCTGATCTGCACCTAGTGACCGCAGCTGCTCTGCCAGTGACATGCAAAAGTGATGTACAGCATCAGGAGGGTGCCTCCTCTCTTCTCTATTGAGCTCGATCTGTCTCAAACAGGCAGCAGCAATTACAGCTGATGGCGCACTGCTTTGTTGTGGGCTGAAAAAGGTGTTTGGTGTGAGAACAGATTACAAATAGTGCAATCATGCCATACCTTTGTTGTGGTTGCTTGTTTCCGTTTTTTTTTTTTTCAACTTTCCGTGGTCTTCGGGCCCTTAACATAGGGAAATGCAGTGGTTTGAGAAGCAATAAAAGACAAACTTTTAAAGGAGAGGGAACACCGATAGTGTCACTGCAGTCGAAAGTGGTGCAAAAGCAATTCCCCCCCCCCCCCCCCCCTCCCCCGACTTTTCAGAAGTAATGTTTACATTTTATCAAGTTGGTAAAGCGGTCATAGCTGGACTCAGGTTGCATAAAAACAATAGTGCACTTGCCTCTCTTCATCAGAGTTCTCCTGCTCCAGCAGCGTTTCTCTCATTTGTTGGGACCTGGAAGCACGAAAGAAAATGGTAGCAAACTATATCTGCTTCACACAATAATGGATAGAAGGAGCACCTCTTTAGGTCCTGTAGAATCTTCAAATTGATTGTTGATGTTAGCATATGAGTAACATCTAATTTGAGAGTGGTGTGCTAGTTTTTTTTCATTGAACTGACAACATAAGTGGTTCTTTGTTTTGCATATTGAGTGTCGATCGTGGAGTAGCAGGCTTTCAATTAGCAAAACCAACGCCTTTACTCCGATTCACAATTTGTGTTCACTGAGGGCAAAGGAAAGAGCATGAGGGCAGAGCTTTGCACAGTGCTTCGTTTGTGTGAGCGCTTGCACAAAAGGCACATTCGAAAGCTGTGCGCTTGCATCCGCATGCTGAGTATAACGTCTCAGCGTTTTTGCAACAATACCAGTCCCAAGAGGGCACATAAGCCTACGTTACATTTATTTTGTTTGTGTCATTTGTTTACCTTGAACTCTCTTCAGTTGTATGCAGTTCCGTGGAGCTGCTGGATGTACCAGCTGCACCCAAGTCCTGGTAGCTGAGAAACGGGCTGTCGGCCTGTTCTTCCCCAACGTGCCGTTGGTCAGCGATGCTGCCGTCGGACGACAGCGAGCTGCTGTCTCTAATAAACACAAATGTTCTCAAATCAGAAAATGCCTTCGACTGAATTTGCATTTAAAAAAAAGTAAGCTAACCAATAACATGCATGACTTAGCACAGTACACGAACTAGAGCGTAAGGCATCACAGCTGTGCAGACACATAGCCAGGGGGGGCGGCATGCCCCCCCCCCCCCCCCCGAAATCTTCCATTTTGCTGGGATTTCCTTTTCCCCCTCCGCCTCATACAGCATTTTGTCATGGGTGCCCCGTGCCCCCCCCCCCCGAAAAAAAAATCCTGGCTACGTGCCTGCAGCTGTGTACCACTCTAATAGCACTACGCCCACATGAGCACTGTACACCAGAACGGAGCAGTCATTTGCAGCAGTCTGTGCTCCCAACTTGTAATAATTTGCATTTTATATGATCAATATTTTTGTATGCTTAGTTTTTGAAGTAGAGATCGGCATTATTAATGCCAGAAACATACCGTGCCTCTGTGCCCAATACGATGTTAGTCCGCAGCTGCAATGAAAACCGATTCGTCATAAACATGGCGGAAAGATGTTTAAAGTAATGCGCAAATCTATTTCACACAACATGCCCTTGAATCAGCGAAACTGGTTCAAAACTGCTGGACGGACCAGCCTGAGGCGTATATAAAAATTTGTTACTTACATCGGAGCTTCGGAGACCCGCTCCATCACTTCCATCATTTGTTCGAAGTGTTTCCACTTCACCGTGGGCACGTCCGCTGCGCCGGCGCCACTCTTCATGCATGTGGAAATTCCATTTCGCACCTTCGTGAACGAGTCCTTTAAATTTTTTAATTTATTTTTGCACTTCTGTCCTGCAAACACAACATACAGTGGTTTTACAAGTGCTGTTCGGCACCGACGATAGTTGTGGCGCACATGACCGACGAGACCTGGCACCGTTTTTACAGCACAAAAGAGTACTTGTCATTTTCGCTGCATTTTGCGATTTCTTCGTCGCTGGTGTGCTGCGTTCATTTCTTCAGTTAACCGACACGCCCGCATTGCTTCCTCGCTTCCGCGACACACCGGTACATTGTTACAAGAACAAATGACTAATATCGGGGTCGCATGCTAAGGTAGCTGGCAATTCGCAAGATAATACCAAATAGGGGGAAGCTTACGGCGCACTGCAGTCCAAACCCGCTCCCTCTAAAAATTGCAAGATTTTGAAAGCACATACCTTTCATTCCGAATCCCGCACCGATCTTGTTCCACAGTTCGTCTTTGTACTTGTTATCTTTGTACGACGCATTCCTAAGGTCGTAGAGGCAAGGGTAATTTTTCACAATGTCAATCAACATCTCCGCTGAATATGGGGCGGTTGAGTTGTCCTCGTTCCCAGCCATGCCAGAGACGCTGGATGCCGTCGACGCCATTGCCAAAAACGAAGTGGGAGAGCGCATACTCGTGACGTAGCAGCTTCGCGCTACGCAAAAATGTCACTTCCGGTCACACTTCCGGTCAGCGAAACGCCTCGTTCGGCGGCAGAAATAGGTCCGGGACCTATTCGGCTCGCCGCCGCGTTTCCCGCCCAGCGTTTCGCTCCAGCGGCAAAAGTTGGGCGGATCCGCTAGCGGATCCGCAAGTGTAAACGTACCATAAAGCGATAGAGCAAACTCACATCTCATTATCTTTTAGCTGAATAGACTGTTTGTTTGGTTATGCTTGTTATCCAATCTTTGTTTTAAATTTAATTTTCTCATATAAACACCTTACATTATAGAAAAAAAAATCTTTTTATAGTACGGAGGTGTCCATATTAAGAAGACATGACTCTATCATCTTTGAAACTAGTTTGCCACAGCCAGTGTTATAATATGTATTGATTTTTTATGCAGTGCCTGCCTTTCCTTGTCCCTTGTGAGGACGACTGAGAAAGCGACTGCGCCACAACGACGGATGGCAAGTATCCCAAGTGTCGTCACCTATAGTGGTCATGTGCTATGTGTTTGCAGCATTGTAGGCCGACCGTGGAGCACTTTCAAAAGGGAACTTTCGCCGTGTGCACAGTATGACCGTGTAAAATACGGGGCATGTACAGTCAGAAGAATTATGAGAGGGAACATGCGGGCGCGTGTCACTTGGTACAGGCAGAGCAGCCTAGCAAGTGTCATGCTTGTGCACTGAAGGGCCCTGGTTTGAAGAGCCGAGGCAGAAGTTTCAGCGGCGGTGTCACCGCCCTGGCGGCTTGTCGCCGAAGCAGAAACGGGGTTAGCTAGCTTTACTCGTGGCTGGCTTTGTGTAGTGTGTGTAGACCGGGAATGTAGGCTTATGAACTTCGGCAACAAGAATACTACACGGCTTTGGTGTTTTGGTACGAGCAACAAACGT